AATATTAATTATTTAAAACAATTTATTATTATTATTAGTGTATAAGTCATAAAAACTGTTTAATTCAATTCAAATTGAAATTATTGTTAGATTATCAAGAGCAGGGAGAGTTGTTGAAAATGCATTTGGGATCTTCTCTTCTGTTTGGCGCGTCTTCTCTACAGTGATTTTATTATCCCCGGATAATGTGTTCTTCACGACATGTTACAGGAAAGAAAAATAAAATCTTATCCCACAGCTGCTACCAGTGACAACTTTGGAGAGCAATATCAACAGTTTATATCCTTGGAAAACAGTCAAAATTTAAATCCATCAACAGCAGCAGCAAAAGCAATTCATGATGAATTCAAAACTTATTTTAATACTGTAGGCCAAGTAGAATGGCAATGAGATGAAATTTGTTTATAATATTATTAAATAATAAATGTGAAATGTAAAAATATTTAAGAAGTTTGGAATTATTATAATTATGTCATTATAAATGATACACTATTTTGAGTTAAGAAATACAACTTTGATACAATAAGTGAAAAATGTTTATTAAGAACTATTTACAATATTTTTAGTTGCAAGTCCAAGGCATTTTCCTTGGGAAGGATTCTTAGTTTGACAGCTATAAGGCTGCCAAATTTGTCGAACACATCCTTTTTTGGTTCATGACTCAGAGCCTGAAAAAATTTTAAAAATACAATATTAAAGGAAAACGCATGAAGTTTTCAGTCTTATATTATTTATTTAATAGTCTTCTTTGTATACAAACATTACTAAACCCGATACATAATGTATCTAAATACCAACCAACTGCCGAAATTCCATCGGGCTAGTTTACGTAATTCATTTAGTAATTAGCCTTAAACTAGCCCGATAGAATTTCGGCAGTTGGTTGGTATTTAGTCTTCTTTGTATTTGTGTAATATTTATAGTATCAGTTACTAAAGTGAACACTTAAAATTATTGTGTTTTTTAGTTGTTCATTCTGAGCTGTAAACCTTAAATAAATAAATTATACATTTTGAAATAACTTACATTCTTTGTCCTTTCCTGCAATTTTTTTTTTTTGGATGGCTGTGGATTATCAAACATGACTGGTGATAATGAAAGCATTTCATTATCATTAAACATTTTATCATCATGTACTGGTACATCAATATTTATATTGATAATTCTATCTGTTTCTTCCATGCAGCCAGAAGTGGATGGTTGTGTATCATTTAACTACAAATAAAAATAGGCTATATTTAATTTTTATCTACTAAGATCAGAGGTATCGGAACCTTGTGAGAGACGGCTGAATTATAAAGGAGCGTAGGACCGTTGCTGAGAATTTCGATCATTATTCCTACACCAATTATATACAATGTTGTATAAAAAGTAATTAGAGCACCACGCCAAAATATACATTTAAAACAAGAAATAACTACTGTCCATCGGCGTTAAACAGTTTTTATTATAATGCAAGCACTTTCGATACTTTATCAGTCATTTTCGGGCGAAGAACGTAACTTTGGAACATTGTGATAATTTTCTTTTAAATGAAACATTAAATATTCGAAAATGGAATACAAATTTTTAAATATTTTAAAATAAAATTGAATTTTTGGATTATAAATAGGAGATTTAATGTTTCATTTGATTACTAGAAATGAAATTTATAATAATGTTTGTATTCAGAATTAAATAAATCNGTGTACGTCGGACGTTAAATACCGTATTCCTGTAAGCCTAGAAGTTTGACAATGGCGTTTGGAACGTCGGTGGAATCGTGCTCGACGTTCCAAACTCCATTGTCAAACTTCTAGGCTTACAGGAATGCGACGCTGAACGTCCGACGTACACGTTCTCTCGATGGAAACGTCGGCCGCAACCTCTCTATTAAATATTCGAAAATGGAATACAAATTTTCAAATATTTTAAAATAAAATTGAATTTTTGGATTATAAATAGGAGATTTAATGTTTCATTTGATTACTAGAAATGAAATTTATAATAATGTTTGTATTCAGAATTAAATAAATCTTTGTATTTTATAAAAAATCAAACCTTTGAACCTTACAAATGAAATTCCAACATAGTTTAATGTAGAAAAACCAAACGCTTTCGATCTACATAACCCTTAATCTGAAGATCTCCTAACAATAGAGGAGAAGGTGGTATTATGGAACACTGCGGGTATTATGGAACCACCCCATTTCGAACTGATAATAAAGGCTAACTGTAGCGGAATGTGGCCGAACTGAACTAGACAGACATCCATAGCCAGGAAAAAACCCCGTTTTACTTCAGTTAAACGGTTGTCCGTATTTAATCAGCAAATTTGTTTTTTTCAAAATTCGCAAGTTTTGAATGCTAAGTGAATTTAATTATTTTTAAAATATAAATCGTGTAGTTGTAGGTTCACTGGTGCATGTATTCCGTTCCAGAAACTTAGGGATACATATTAATCTGCGTGATTTTCACGTTTTTAAAGTTTGTTGCTGACAGGAATTAAGTTGACCCAAGATGGAGATGCGTGAAATACGGACCCCATTGGTGCTTTTATATGGAACCCAACACTCCTGGGACCGTATTCTGGTCACTGTCTCTGGTCTCTCGTCTCTCACAAGCCGGTCGCTGTTTGGCTAATCCAAATGATTAGACAATCAGCGACCGGCAATCAGTATTACCGACAAATTGAAAGCATAAAATAATGTTTTTACGTTTTATTTTATTTATGAAAACATTTTTTTAATTTAAATACTATCTTAACAAGAAATAAAATGTAAGATAACAATCGAAATTTTCATTTTTTTCATGAAAAAATTATCGTCTGCTTAGAAAATAGCGAAACTGAGCATGCGCGAAGTGACAGTATCGTCTGGCTAAGTAAATAGTCAACAAGTAAGTTGAAAGTTTTTATGTTTATTTATTTGAAAAAAAAAAACAATAAATATAGCCACACTAAGGGTGATTAGAGCTTGCAGGGACATATAGTGGGCTATGCGTTGGTTTAATGAATACGCCCTTTGTTAAATATGATATTAATGTCTAAGAAATGTACCATCCTAGAGCTTCAGGTTAAGGAATTAGCGAAAACGATGAAGGCCTAATATATGCCTGCAAGCTCTAATGACCCTTATAGATATAAGTTAGCAGCATTTCGAGCATTGATTACAAGGGCTTTTATATATTGCGAAAACGTTATAGACCGGGATACAGAGATAGAAAAAATTATACAGATAGCAGGAACATTAGGTTATCGAGGGAATTATTAGAAAATTTCATGCCAGTAATGATAAAGTCACTAGACAAGATCCATTTAGGTACACGAAATTTACATACAACAAGTATTTAGGAGGGATTATGAAAGAAATCGCAAATAAAAACGATACAAAGGTGATCTTAAAAAGAGCTCCGAATTTGTATAAAATACTTAGAAACGATAAAGGGTTAGTTAAAAAAGAAGATAAGGCGGGTGTGTATAAGAGTNGAAATTTACATACAACAAGTATTTAGGAGGGATTATGAAAGAAATCGCAAATAAAAACGATACAAAGGTGATCTTAAAAAGAGCTCCGAATTTGTATAAAATACTTAGAAACGATAAAGGGTTAGTTAAAAAAGAAGATAAGGCGGGTGTGTATAAGAGTCCCTACGAGAACCAGTGTCGGAACATAAAGATAAGAGTCCCTACGAGAACCAGCTAATAGATGTTGATGTGCTGATGTTGAAACGGAGCATTATACTTGTGAGTTTTGTAAATGATTAGCTTCTTCTTTGTACATTTCTTCATTATTATTAAATCATTTTTGCGTTAAAATACATTGGAGTTAATGATTTTGTAATTATTTAACATTTTTTGTACTTTCCTATTTGTTTTTGGCTACATTAAAGCATTTTTTGAAAATATACAGTAAGGTTCCATATTACCACCCGATTTTCTTTAAGCCTACTTTCTGACTTTTTGTACAAAAGCCTTCAAAAACCATACTTATAGTTACACTAACGAAAAATCCAATTAGGAACATTTAGTTTAATTAATAGTTACTTAGTTACAAGTACTTTATGCACAAAAACTGTGGGTGTAGTTATGATACCTTGTTTACAATTTTCTAAAATGTAATTGGGGTTCCATAATACCACCTTCTCCTTTATCATCGTTCTACCTTTATCAGCATTTAGCATGACGATATATTTGTCAAACATCCACATTTTGCTCTCTTGTAGGTTTCCATGTGATTTCTTCCTGGTAATTCTTAAACGATTTCATCTTGAAGGTCGCTTTCCATCGATAAAGTTCCTTTTGGCATTTACCATGCCAACGATGAGTTTCTCAATGTTCGGCACGATGTCTTCAGGATAGCAATACTGTGCTTTGGGTGCCAAACATGGAGCCGTACTTGATGGCGTCGATGAGGAAGGATAAGGCGATATGTTGTCCCAGCAAACTGATTGTGGGCGAAGTTGTACACCAATATTTCGATGTTGTTTCTTGAGGATCCAATTTATTGTGGGTAAAGGTGATAGATTAATATATAAACGTGTGCCCACTATCTATAATATCCTCAAAAACGAAAAGGATGACGCCGATATGCTTAAAGTACCAGAAGTTTATAAGATTCCGTTGAGAGACAATAGATTCGAGTGCGATCTTGAGTACATCGGCACCACACGCGATCACTAAAAATAGGACTTGCGGAACACAAATATGATATTGATAAAAGAAAATACTGTACAACACCGCCCTAGCCAGGTACGCCATAGACTACGACGTTCAAACCTATCTAGACAAAGCTTCTATTATACAACGATCTAAGCATGACGACCCAAAGCAGGACACTAGAAGCTCTCAAGATATTCAAATCTGAAAAGAAGGGCTGTTCCATCAATTTCAAGGATGAAAAACGATTATCTTATGCCTAGCAATCTTTATACTAACAAGAACAGTGGATATAAAAAGTTATTTAAAATTTTTTTATAAATTCTCGTTTAACACTTATATTTTATTATGTATTACAGAATTTATGTTATTTTGTATCACTTGTGCAATTTTTATGTATTTAAGAGTTTTCAAATAATTTAAAAATGTTCCTTTCCTCGCATTCCATTTTGGAACATATTAACCTGATGAAAGAATCTCCTATGTAGACAGAAAGTGTTTGTTTTTTTTCTGCTTTAAACTGTGCTGGAATTTCATTTGTAAGATTTTGAGGTTTGCGTTTTTTATGCCATATTTTATTCCACTTTTGCAGTGTTTGAACTATCTTTGTATTTTATACAAGTTTGTTAGGAGGTTATGGAAGAAATATGTTTTGCATTTAATTATTTTGGACATTTTTCGCAAAAATCTATTGTTTCGATAATTCCAAAGTCGATTAAATACACGTCTGCGTATTAACGATAGAATAGCGTACACCTAGCTTTAGCCATTGTTAAGACTAACGGGTGAACTTATATAAGATAATGTCATGATTTTATTCGAGAATTACAATAAAAATTCAATTAGAAAAGAAATTCGGATAATTCCAAATCGTGTTTTTCGGTCCCTTGAGTTTCGAAATAAAGGGGTTTTAATGCACCGGGGATTTCTATTAATATAAACGTACGGTACAAATATTAGAATAATAATTTAGCCACAAAATTATCGGCTTAAAATTGATTATAATATATAATCTATTAAAGATAAATATATTTTATCAATTATGTACTCTATCTCTACAGTATTTAGACTGATAAAGCTTAATTGTTAGATTCTAAATTTATAGTATTAATTATAATTTTAGTAGAGGAAAAGGTGGTATTATGGAACCACTCCATTTCGAACTGATAATAAAGGCGAACTGTAGCGGATTGTGGCTGAAATGAACTAGGCAGACATCCATAGCAAAGGGAAAACCCATTTCACTTCAGTTAAACGTTTGTCCGTAGTGAATCAGCAAATTTGTGCTTTTCAAAATTTGAAAGTTTTGAATGCTACGTGAATTTATATATTTTTAAAATATAAATCGTGTAGTTATAGGTTCACTGGTGCATGCAGAGCCGTAACTAGCCATTCCTGTGCCCCGTGCAAGAATTTGCATTTAGGCCCCTTAATTTATTTGGTTTTGGGAAAATAATACAACAAATACTGTACATTACAATAGATTTTTAATAAGATTTATTTTAATTGAATTTTTCTGGCTTTCATTTCAGCAAATTCATTAATTTCACCACCATTATTAATATTTTTAACGATATTGTATTCTACTGAAATAATAGAAATATTGGATAATCGTTCTTGTCCGATAGTTGATCTTAAATAATTTTTTCTTAAGTTTAACTTGCTAGAACTTCTCTCGCACGAAGCAATAGAAACGGGAAGAGTTAGAAATATTCGAAGAGCGACATTGATATTTGGATAAGACTCAATTAAACAAAAATCATGAATAGCCTATAGTACAGCGTTTTTCAAAGTGGGAATTTACGCCCCGTTGTGGGCGATAAGTAAATCTAGGGGGCGCTGGAGGCAGGGTATTGAACAGTGACCAAAGGCAAAATTCGGGTCACTGAAAGCCGTTACCTTTCCTCTGTTAATTAAACTGATAAGAGAAAACATTGTGTTTAATGGTTTCCAGATGTTGAGAACAATGTACCGTAAGGGCACAAAGTGTGAGATTTAATAGAAAAGTTTTCCTAAGAATATTTCCAATCCTTTCTCACACAAGAAAAAATGGGTTAGGGGCGTTGGGTATAATGGAACAAAGGGGGCGATGGATAGAAAAATTTTGAGAATCATTGCAGTAGAATATTAAGTTGATATGCAGTTTTTATATTTTGTATAAGAGTCGTTACTTCAATATTAAAACTTTCAATTTCACTTGTGAATTCGTACTTTTTTAAATCTTTGCTATATTTAATAGCGAGATCTGCAGCCGATTTTTTTCAATCAGCAACACTCATGTATTGTAATGACGAGCCACAGAGAAAGCAAAAATCGTCACATTTAGTTTTCATTTTTTCGTAACGCCAATCTATTTGACGCAATAGAGTGTCGAGAAAACTGTAAATTTGTATTTTAAATAATTTTTCGGGTGTCAAGTTACTTCCTTCATCTGGTGTTTTATCTATTTCCATTATCTTAACTCTTTTTTTTCGTTTATTAAGAAATCCTTTTTCTATACTTTTTGGTTTGTAGTAAGAATATGATCAATAATAGCATCTGTTAATATTGTTGGCCATAAAGCTATATAATTTATTACTTCCATGTATCTACCGGTATATATATCGAAGCGTTTTTCTGGACTATTTCTGTCTTCTGCGTTTTCGGAATTCCTTTTTTCAGTAGCATTTTAAAGACTGTAGGAGTCCCTTCGGGGACTACGCGCCCGCTTACCGCTTAATCCGTCGTTCAAGTATACACCACATATGCGTACCACTATAAAGCAAAAAATGATGTCAGAATTTCTGCACGTCTTTTACAACCTCGAGACTAAGATTTTATTCGGGAGTTACTGTTTTCAATTTAGTAATTTTAAAAAAAATCCTCCGGCAAATTTATTTTTGTTACAAAATGTTACCTTTACAAATTTCTAGCTCTGCACACTGTAGAAAAATCTAGAAATACAGTTTTGTATATCGTAATAATATTAGTAGTTTCCAGAAAGCTCTATAAAGTAGAGAAAAATCTGTACATTTGAAAACTATAAACATAAATTTAAATTTCTCAAAAAATAAATTAAAAAATCTCAAAAGTCGCTACGTTTGGCTGATTTGTCTGAGGTCTCCGCTACCTCTCTACGTCCCTCTAAAAGTCGCCACAGTTGGGAACACTGGTAAGCAGACATCTAGGGTCTAAGTAAGGCAAAATGTAATCGAAAAAACGGGCTATAGAAAGGCAGAAAAATTTTAAATTTAAAAATACTATATAATTTCTTGTGAACAGCAGTTTGGGCCTCCCTTGCAAGCGGGCCCTATGCGGGTGCACCTGTTGCACCTGCCTAGTTACGGCTCTGGGTGCATGTATTCCATTCCAGAGACTTAGGAGTACATATTAATCTCTGTGATGTTCACGTTTTTTAAATTTTGGTCTTGACAGACATAAGTTAATTCAAGATGGCGATTCCATTGATGCTTTTAATATGGACTCCATTGGTGCTATTAATATGGAACCAAACTCCTTTGAACTCTATTTGCAAGCAGACATTCGTCCGGAGCAATTTGTGAAAAAGACACTAGGTAGAAACCCAATTCTTCTTGAGAATATCGAAAAAGATCTGCTGGAATATATATTGTTGATGGAGGTCATATTTTTCTATTATAAAAGCATATTTTCGATAAAATACATTAGTAACTTAGTACTTTCCTATTTGCTTTTGGATACGTTAAGGCATTTTTTGAAAACATACAGTAAAGTTCCATATTACCACCCGATTTTCTCTAAGCCTACTTTCTGACTTTTTGTACAAAAGCCTTCAAAAACTATACTTATAGTTACACTAGCAAAAAATCCAATTAGGAATATTTAGTTTAATAGTTACCGGTACTTTTCGCACAAAAGATGTGGGTGTAGTTACGATACCTTGTTTACAATTCACTAAAATGAAAATGGGGTTCCATAATACCACCTTCTCCTCTATTAGTAGTAAAATCTAAAATTTTAGTGTAATTCTTATAATTGCTTAGATACAACTTTTTGATTTAAAAAATATTCCAAACTTTATCAATTTCTAATCAACTGTTTAATCTCATTAATACTGACAGAAAAAGATGGACGAATTTTTGGAAAGAATTGAAAGACGAAGAGAAAGAAATCGGGATAGAGAAAGACAAAGAAGAAATAACGAAACACCGAATCAGCGAGCGGAAAGGTTGAGAAAAAATAGGGAACGCACTCGATTATATCGTCAAAGAGAAAGAAGATTGGAAGAAAGAGCAAGGAGGTTACAAAGAAATGAAGTAAGTGCCAACGAAAGAGAAAGTTTAGAACACGAAATAGAAATTTTAAGAAGAAATGAACGAAGAGTCACTGAACGAGGAAGATTAGAACAAGAAGTAAGAATGCTAGGAAGGAATGAACGAAGAAGAGAAGAAGGAAGAGAGGGTGAACACAGTATGAATATAGAAACAGATAGAGAACATGCAGAAACAGATAGAGAACATGCAGAAACACAGCGTGAAGAAACACAGCATGAAGAAGAAAGGAGAAATTTTCGATCTTACATATCTATCAAGAACATAAACACTTATAATGTATATTTTTAACCCATTCGATATTGTTGGTGTTTTCTCTGGTATATTTTTCTGGTATGTATTATTACTTTCGCTGATTAATAATTGAAATTTTGTAATACAAATAACTAGTAAGTTATTTACTCAGGAGTAATCTTTTAAAACAATTCCCATTATTGTAATTATTATTTAAATTGAGGGTAAGAGTGTTGGATGTTTCCTTATCAAAATCCGTTTGTTGAAAATCGCATAATTTAAAATGTTTTATAGCATGCCGCAATTAGTATGGAAGATGATTTATTATAAGAATATTTATAAGTTAAATATATTTATTCCTTATAAATTTTCGATTGTAGTTCTACAATATCAAGTAAATTACTTTTGCTCGATAATAAATTAACGTTATATTTCTGACAGATTATTAAATTTATTTTCATTGTTTTCATAAACTTTCTAGTAGTTTTATTTTTACTTCTTAAAGAAGACTATGTATATATAATTATATATATTTACATATCTTTAGACATAATTATATATAATTACGTCTTTTTGATTCTCTTTCGTTAATGTATCCTTCATTTCAATGTTTTCATTGCTCATAGCTAATGTGCAGGAACTTTGTTAATACAGTTAGCGACAGTAAAAGGGTTAAAAAAACGGGTTATACATCAATACAAACGCCTCGTTTTGCTTTTGCACTCATTTCAAAATCTGATCATTCAATACAGTTTGATCGATGATTTCGGTTATCGTTACAAAATATTTACTAAGAAAATCTGTACAGATATTCTTTGGATTCTTCGTTTTCAAAATCATTATTTTCCAGTTCTATATGAAGTTATTGCTCTTCCTGTCCTCGAAGGTCGTCGTTAGTAAGGCTCTCACCAGAAACCTGCAGTTACTCCTCAATATCTTGTTTGTCTACATCTCCTAGTCTTGCTTTATCGATTAGGTTAACAATTTATTCAACTTAGCTAATGATACAGCGATAGGCTCTTCTCGTGCAGAAATTTTGGATACATTCAGCCATAACTTCTTCCACACTCCTTTCGTGCATTCATCAGTTAATTCTTGTTACGCCAAGTCGATATTTTTTATGGCTTCCATGATGTTATATTTTTACCAAAATTGCACCAAACAAACATAGATTTAAGGGAAGTACAGCGCTACGACGAATTGCCGCCTTTTACTGATTGGTTCGTGTTCGTACATTATCATATTATATACGAATCAATGAATTGCCGCGATAATTTGAATCAGCGTAAATTTTGAGCTTTTTTTTATGCTTCGAGCAGACTTCGTTATATCGAATCAGCGTTAATCGAGGCAGCGTTAAGCGGGGTCTTACTGTATATCCTTCTTCCGGATGTATAAGCCTCATTCCATTTTCAGAACAGAAAAAATTGGTGTTATAGGTGAGAAAATATAGTAAATTACTTAAGTGTATTATTGGCTACAGTCCATTGTACAAAATCTTCGGCACTTATTTAATAATTCATATAGAACTATGTGTTAAGAACATTTGGAAATAATTAAGATTAATAGTGAACTAGTAATGGTAGATAAATAGTGAATATTAATTGAAAATATTGGGTTATCGGTCCGCAGTTTCCGGTGTACGTAGTTTATATCTTCGATAGGCTAGGCTACCGCTTGCGATTTCTATTCGCGCGATTTTTCTGTCGCAAAAATAAAACTCACTGTTTTTAATACAAGTGCATACACTTGCGACTAAACAATCGCAGCGATTAAAAACTTGTAACTGATCCTATTTTCGCTGTGACCCGACTGTCGGCTCTACCCAGACAAGCATGACATGCACACACTTGCGATAGTCTGGTTCAGGTATGGCCAACATAAATTCATTAGACGGGCCGGATCTGGCCCGCGGGGCAGATCCGGCCCGTCTAATGAATTTATGTTGGCCCGCGATCAATCTTTCAATATTAGCTACTGAAGACCGAATAGCTCGATGAAAAATTCTGACGCTTAAAAAAGTAAAAAGAAAATCAACAACTCACTGTGCTTTTGAATTGAACCATCCATTACAAATCTCGTAAGTACAGCGTAGAGTGATAACGTGAAAAATGTATCTGTAATCTTTAATCTGACACCACAATGAGATCTCGCACCACCTCAAAATCTTCCTAGGGCAGCCTCTGATTCGGCCCGTGAAAAAAGTTTTTTTTCCAATTCGGCCCGGGGACAGAAACTGTTCGCCACCCCTGGTCCAGTTGCAGTTAAAAATCATTATTTTTTTTAACAATTAAAAATTTATTGTTAATCTCGTCGACAATACTTTTTGATGTTCATTGTTACGGAAGTCCATTGTTGACTTTTCAATGTTCGGTTTACATTCGATTCACTCACTCCGTTCCAAATCCTACAACTACTAACGGCGTATCCGTTACAATAAATCTTCAGCACTGTATTCGTCTACAACAGGGGTGTCCAACCTTTTTGTTCCTCTGGGCCATATTGGAAGAAGTCATGACGTTTTGGGCCACAAGTATATATAATATATTTGCGACCTAATCCTTAAATATACTAGTATATTTAAAGATTAACATGTCTAGATTATAGTAATAAGTATTAAAACTTTATTACGAAAAAAAATATTTTAAAAAATTACTTCTACAGACACTTTCAATTTTTACTTAGAAATAGATAAATTCATTTATTATAAAGGAGACAAAACAAAAATTTATTTGAAAAACACAAATATTTGTTTTATTTCGGTCTCTAATTAATAAATAAACGACGAAACACCATTTTAAAGTACATTTTTATTCGACTATACATTTATAAATAATATGTGACCCAGAAAGTAGCCAATGCGTCAAATGATAATTTTTACACCAAACTAAAAAAAGGGTAGCCAAATTTGGCTCAAAGTAGTCAAATCTTGCAATGCTGGAAGGAATACTAAATAATTCTGGAGTTGGAACTGAAAGGATTATAGACCCAGATTTGAGAAAAGGAGAGAAAGGCTAAAAGATAAAAAGTAGTGAGAAAAATTGGAAAATTAAGGGTTAATATTTGCATAACAGAAGGTCTATTTAACCTTTCTCACTACTTTTTATGTTTTGGCCTTTCTCTCCTTTTCTTAAATTTATGTCTATAATCCTTTGAGTCACAACTCCAGCTTTAGTTAGTATTCCTTCGTCACTCACACATCTCCAAGTATTTGATAATATTTTTTTTTTTCACTCAAAAATAAAATATGTATAAAAGTTTACGGCTTTGCGAAACTTCTTTTTTGAGTTTATGCCGTTGAAATAAAAAAATAAATATTGATAAAATAAAACAATTTGTCGGTTTTGTTTACACGTTTATTGGGCCGCATTGGAGCTTGCCTTGGGCCGCGGGTTGAACACCCCTGGTCTACAATATAACACCATGACGGCATTTTCTTTTTCGCTAGACTTATTACACCATCAGTCAGAAAGAGGACAAACTTTAGAAAATCAAATCTTTATTTCCCTGAGTATGCATTTCAAACATTAAGTCTCTTTTCAACTCCATGTGATATAACTGTTCAGGGAATAATGCACACAAATTAACATAAAAACTTTCCAATGTTACAAAATATGTAAAAGGTATTTAAACTTGCATTATTATGAGAAGAACGTCCTATACAATATAGAGGATGATTATTGATTAACAGGTACTTGCTAAGACAATAATTAAAATGGAAATGATTTATAAAACCAAAAATGTTAAACATAAATGTAGAAAAGGTTCTGAACTTACGGCAAATACAACGGTTCGATACATAACGTTGTTAGGCAACGATATACTGTACATCAAAAAGTATACAGTTAAAATTATAAGATTTAAAATCGGATTTAAAATTATAAGATTTAAAATTGTATACTGTAAAACTATTAAAGTAATAAAATAGAATGATGATGATTATGTAGAATTTCTGCGGCAGCAATTCATTGGTTGCAGCGACTAGATATCGCGAGTGGAGGTCTAGTCATAGAGGGAAGATAAATTACGCACCTGTAAAAATTTAGAACGAGTCAACTCCAGCACCCGTAGCTGATATCGGCCATGAAACTTTGGAATTTGTAATTAATTTTACTTTTTTATGGTATTAATCTAAGTGTAACAATAGTGTGCTCTATTTATGAAAGTAACGAGGAATGTTTTTAATAAAGGCAACAGCTATTGGCTAATTCTGATACCTTCGATTAAAAACTTTACTTATTGTGAGACATTTGCAAGAATTGAAAAATTCGACCAAACTTTATAACATATACACGTATGAAAGAAATGAATGCTGTAGCGTGTCCTCGATTACACTGGCTAAAACTCCGAAATTCAAAATGAAAATCGCGTAATATACTGTAAAATATGTCAAATCTTTAGGAATTATTCACATAATCTATGTTTTGGTGTTTGTTCGACCAGCCATTAAGTAAATGATATTGCATGATGTATAAAAGTTTGTTTGATGTCTTCTAAAATAAAATTTTCTTAACTCGATTCTTGGAGGATGTATCAAGCAGATACATGGCATTTTTTAAATAAAATTGATCAAAATTAAATAAAAGTTCATCTGCGATTTTTGTAGCATTCCTCAATTGATATGTTGTGAAGCGATTACTACAGTGGTTTTTACGTTTATTATTTTTTTAGAGAGACTTGACGAAAAAATTTACTACCACCTGTACCAAATTCTCCCGCCGGACTCTCGCGATTGTTATAAGCAACGATCGCAATTCAATAAAATAACAATGTAGAATGTTTAACCTTTACCACAATGCTATATGCAACGTTATATTAATTATATTTTGATGTTTTTGAAAAACATAATTATCAACTTGGTTGCAAGCTCGAAAATATTCTTTTTTCACCGAAAAAAAAATACAATATAATAAATTCGATTGAATATCAGACACACGAATAAAATAATCCGGATGAAAAAACATTCAGAAGAGTTTAATTTTTTTACTTATTTCAGTAAAACAAATTTCTGCCACAATATGTATTTACAATTGAAATTATACTCTAGATTAACTTTTCTTGGTGAAATTCATAAACAAAACTTGAATTAAATTATTTCAATACAAGTTATTTCCTGTTTTTTTATACTTGAAAATTCAGTTCATTTCGGAAATAAACCATTTTAAATATTTTTTAAAATATTATCTCTAAAACTTCTAATTATTTATCATAGATAAATTTAACAGTTGAACTCACAAATGTTTAGATATTACCAATTTTATATATCATTGAATGTGCGGAATTACTACTTGACACAGTGTCTCTAACAACAGAATTAAATAAAAAACATAACACTGCATCTGTAAAAGATGGATACACAATGAAGACAATCCACTGTTTTATAGTTTTGTTTTCTTTTGTTTAGCGTAATATTTCTCTTTGGCAATTTTGTATAATTCATTCATTGAAGTTACTCCCGTCTTCTTTACCAAATTATAAAAAGTGCCATTTACGTTCTTCAGTAATGCATACGGCGAGTCAAATTCTTGTAATTTTCCTACATCTAGTACCTGAAAATTTTAATTGTCTAATTAAGAAAGCATTTATTTTCATATTAATAAAAAAAGAATCTTACCAGAACTCTATCCGAATCGATAATTGTGTGTAATCTGTGGGCTATTGTCAACACTGTACAAGACTCGAATCTCTCTCGAATTATTTTCTGTAGACAGGAATCGGTCCTTGATATAAAATAAACAAAATATACGTCAGGTTTGAAAATATTAATACCAGTATAAAATAGAAAATTCATATAAAAGTGGTCAAATTTACTTTAAAATATTTACAATTTTTAAAATATTTACACGTTGTAAATAAAATTGACAACGTTTTATAAAAACTCAGACCAATTAGTATAACCTTCATATATATTTGCTGTTAGAGAATTCTTGATAAAATATATCCCACAGTATATAAAACTGGCTGAATTGGTATTAATATTTTCAAACCTGACGTATGGTTTCTGCAATCACGGCAAACTGTCACTGAATAGTTTCTGAACGATTGAATTCATTTCCGTAAGACATTTTTCCGAATCTCTTTTAAAACTATTCAGGATGTTCCTGTTAAGTAACATTCCCGAATGGTCACTCAGAATTACTTTCCTAACAGGACAAGACGCCTGTCTAATGCTCTTAGTGGAATATGTGGAATCTGTCATAAATACAAAATACTTGTATTATCAGA